ATATAATATATATATATATATATATATATATATATATATATATATATATATATATATGTGTGTGTATATGTATAAAATCTATTTTGGAAATATTTTTTCGAATTTTTCTCCGATATAATATATATGCTACTTGATATAATATATATATATATGCTAAAATCATTTCACTTATCTATTCTTTAATAGCAAAATATAAAACAATTATCAGCAATTTTTTATGAATTTATATATCATAAAGAAAAAATATTTCTAATCATAAAATATATTCTGACAGTTATTAGAATAGTCATTAGAACATTTACAATGTTCCTCTTACATAACATGAGAGTAAATCATAAATCATAAATGTTCTCTTATATCATAATTAGAAAACGTAATCATATAGATATGTTATAAATATATTAAATATAATACATATTTAAATTTTATTATTTAAATGACTGAAATATTTGTGTCTACATGAAGAAAAATTCAATTAGAATATTCCTAAAAGCTTGATGCTTATATAGACTGTTATTGCATTAAAAAATTCATATATCACAAATCGCCTATTTTTAGTGGTCTCTCATTCAGTAGCTAAGAAAAATCAATGATTAATCGAGATTAAATGCAACAACTGTATCTTATACGTATCGCATATTGCCTATTTTATGACAAATGAATTCAAAAATCAATATGTAAATGTTACTAGAAAGATCAAGTGGATGAAATTTTTTTACTACACTTGCATCTAACTATCACAGAAACATCTTTTTTTGTCATCCAATATTTATAAACAAATGAATCTTATGTATATATGATATATACACATACATACGTATACACACATACATACATATATACACATGTGCATATGCACACGCGCATGTGTGTGCGATATATGCAATTTCTAATGGAGTAAGATCACACTTACGCGCGTCATAACTTTTTTTTATATTTCTATTCCATTTTCATTAAAGCAAAAAATTAGTTATTCAACTCAACTGTTAGCACATTTTCAATAATATGTTTACTTAATGTTGTAATGGCAGTATCAATAACAAATGGAATAACAATAGCTATGCTGTATAACATTAAGAGACATACAAAAATGCAATAAATCATGATTATACGCGAGTTAATGCCATGATAATGATTCTTAAAATATTTTGTTATGGCATAGTCCTGCGGAATCAGAGGCATGGACGCAGACACAGGAAAAATGAGTAGAAAGACGAACGACTCACTCCTGTTAGAGGGCAGCCAAAGTAGCGCTATCATCTTCCACTGTCTGTAAACATGTGAAATATCTCTCTTTTTGGCGCTCAGGAAACCATGCGATGCTAAAGACAATTGACAACTGTACATTTCATGCGCCACTTAGAGTACCTAATGAAATTATGTAAGAACATATTTACACGCTGTATTTATTGAATTCCATGAAAATGCTTTGAGTTCCTATTACTGAAGAAATATCAAAAGAAATATATATAATTTTGTTCCAATATTTAAAGGCTTGAAAAGTCTTATATTAAATCGATTTTGATAAAACCTGTGTGCGAATAGTTTAATTCATTATGATATTTCAAACTAAAACATTTTATATTTGAGTCATTCTTATGTTATTGGAAGAAAATTGAAGCTATTCTTCGTAGTAATAAAAATGTTTCTTAATAACAATAAACAAGAATTTTTTTACAATCGATTCTGTCAAAAGTATAACAGATACTTAAATAATTTTCAAAACACTTGTTGAGATGTAAGAATATCTCTTTTTTTTCCACCCAATCTCTTTCCTTCTTTTTTTCTATTTTCATATTTTATGCAGAAATGCACATTCATATATAGATGTATGTACACATACATTTTTGTATAATAATCAAAATTAAATTAATTATATTAAGACACTTTATATAAATAAACTAACAATTAATTTAAAAGTGAGTTATGTTCTATTTAAATCACTTAATTTAACAAATAATTATTTTATTCGTTAAATTCTATAATTCATTAATTTACACCTTTTAATAAATAAATGTATATTAAATGTATATTAAATGTAAATATACATTTATTTATTAAAAGGTGTATACAGATATACATTTATTTTTGTATATAAATTAGCAATAATGATAGAAGCTGAGAGTACAAAATATGTAATACCTTCGTACCAAAAGCCATGCAATATCCAAAAAAAAAGTAATATTATATAGTAAACTCAAATTTATTAATAAATAAGCTGTTAATAATAAGATTACCCCATGCAATATATTATATAACATAATAAAAAATTATTACAAATACACTATTTATTTGTACGTAGGACAGAATAAGAGTGAGATAAAAATGTTTACTTTCAATTAAAATAATTTAAAAAAGGTACAAGAAATGCATAAAAAATTTATTAAAAAGAATGATGTTGAATTCTTTTTCAAGAAAACATTTTAAATTAAACAAAAAACATATAAGGAGGGAAAGATAATTTATAAGGAGGGAAGCATAACATTCAATAGATTGCTATATGTACAAGAGACATATTACAACATATTAAATTTATTTTCAAATTTGCTCGATTTTAAAAAAATGTATAATGTATATGTATGTGTGTTTTGTGCACAAAGGATAATTAAAAGAAAAAAATTATTAATGTAATACTTACGTTATTAGGATTCTGAGGTGCTAGTGTATGTTTACTCATAACAATTGTGGTAGTTTTGAGATCTTTAGTGCCCCCAGGTGACTTCGGTGGTACAACTATATCAACAGGACTATTTGATTTGCTTACTAAGGATTCTGCCGCGCGTACAACATCCAATACCTATATCAGAGTCAAATCAAAGAACATTAGAGATAAATTGAATCATGATTATCGTACATAATCAATTTAGAAAAATGCGTTTTGGAAAATATGCTGGCATAAATCCTTGCACAAAAATATATTCGTTTCACGATAAAATAACATCTTTTATAAAAAATACAAAAAAAATAATAGCTATGCAGTTTTTATAATGTATATAATCCTTGTATATTTCCAAATCCAAGTTATAACAAATAGATCATTTCAAAATTCTATATAAAAATTATAAGAATTTAAAATTGTTAAAAGCAGTAACTTGTTATATACAAATAAAATATTATAACTATTATATTCAAATAAGACTTACCTTTTCAGGTGTGGATTTCTCTCTTTGTTCTACAAGCGCACGTTCTCGTTCCTCTTGTTCCCAAGCAACGAGTTCAGCTTTCATTTCTTGTTCTTGTCTAAGAATCGCAGCTTCCTCATCGTCCCGATCTAAACTGGATACACTTTGTGATAGAGATTTAGTATCATCTGTTGTCGGATTTTTCGATTCGTGAGACGCTTTAATTTCCTTATTATCTCTACCATCGGACAATGTTAATATTGACTCAATTTCATTTTTATCGTAACCTTTACACACAACCAACGTAATAGTATTCCCTGAGCTCCGAAGGATTTTAACAGCTTCTTGATGACTTGCCCCTAGCAATGATGTACCATTGACTTCCAGTAATCTCATTCCAACCTATTAGATAAGATATATAAGTAAGTATTAAATCAAATATGTCAGTATAAAAAGGCAAATACAAATCTACATGCTTACTTTCAATCGTCCATCTCTCTTAGCTGCACCTCCTGAATTAATCTTCGATATGAAAACTCCTTCATCGGTATGATCGAGAGGATTACCCTTTTGTCCTCTTCGTCCCCCTTTAATGTGCATACCAAGTTTCTCACCTGCTTCCTTTGTTATCACTAATTCCTAAAACAGTTACATCAATTCTTCCTATAAAACAATTTACTATTTCTTTTATTTTTTTAAACTATATAGAATTATAGAAATAAGAACTATTGTTATGATTATACAAAAACTAATTTTTTAGTCCATTTTATTGTAAGTAATAACTTTTTGTATTGCCATATGTACACGCACGCACGCATGCACGCACGCACACATACATACACACATACGTGTTACATATGATTATCTATATAATAAATGATACATGTAGCAAATTATTTGATTTCCGTACTAATATTATTTATACATACTTATTTATACATACTTCAATAATATTCAAGTTTAAATGGACAATTTGTAATAAGAAATTTAATATTAAAAAATGAAAAATTACGAGAAATGATGATTTAAGAAATCTTTTACTAACAGTAAAAACAAAAAAGTCAAGTACAATTAAATTTCTATAGAATAAGGATCATCAATTTTATTTAGTATTTAATATTAAATATAACGGCATAAAAGCACAGTAAAAAGCACAATAAAAAGCAGAATATAAAATAAAAAATTGAATATAAAATAAAAAAATTCTCTTATGCGTGTGAAATTGCGCGACACAAGCAAAAGCGAATCATTCATAATACAATAGTGAAATTTGCAGCTGGCGTAGGGATAAGCATAAATGAGAACAAAATTTTTCACGGACATGTGTCAAATGCATCGAGTACTTACTGTCACAGGGATGTACTCTATTTCGACCAGCTTGTGGGGCAAATTATAAAAAAAACTGCATTAGGTAAGGAAATAATCATACGCTAAAGCACCAAGTGCCATTGTGTTTACGACTAATAAGCATTCCTTGGAAACAAATAAAATAAGGAAAAATTTTTTTCTTAAAAAACATTTACATATTTATTAAAATATTGCCTATAATTGTGTTTAATATCTGTATAGTTGTGTTTAATACCAATAATTCTAAGCATAAAAAGTTAAAATAATTTTTTTTCTAAAAAACAATTTTTCAAATATGTATTTATTTACAAAAAATTAAAAACAA